TATGACCCAATGTCAATACAGATTCATATTTCAACGGGTGAAGTATCCCTTTAATGAGTTTACGTGACTAGAGACCTCTCTCACTCACCAATGCCACACTTCCCACAGATGAGGATCTGGTTGTTTTGGTTTGATTGGCTGTCAGAGCTTGGCTCTGCCTCCTGGCACATGGAGCAGCGAGGCTCCTCCCCTGGCACTCCAGCTGCAACAAGGTTTGACAAAAGATTGTAAATGACCGTAAATATTAATGGTGACAGAAGGCATTCTGTCTCTCTCTACTGGTTTGTGTCTCACCGTGTTGGATGTCCTTCCAGAGAACCCAGAACTTGGAGTTATCTTCAAATGTGACAAAGCAGCTCTGCCTTGGGGGACTCACCTGTCCACCAATCACAACACAGAAATGTACATCAACCAATCAGAAAGGAATATATGAATGTTTCTGTGTGTGTGTGTGTGTGTGTGTGTGTGTGTGTGTGTGTGTGTGTGTGTGTGTGTGTGTGTGTGTGTGTGTGTGTGTGTGTGTGTGTGTGTGTGTGTGTGTGTGTGTGTGTGTGTGTGTGTGTGTGTGTTACCCTCTGAATCTTGCCCAGATAGTAGAGTCCATCTGACCAATGGCAGAGGACGAACTGTCCAACACTCAGACTGGACTCAGCCACATCAATATCATCCAGTTCTTTCCCCTTTCGACAGGCCACATCTCCTGGAGACACCTCTGGCTCCAGATCACTGAATGGTTCATACAAGTCCTCATACATCCTGCAGGACAACATGATGCAGGGGATGACATGCTGTTAAATTTGCCTATGGCCCTCTAGGCCACTGGCTTTTCAAGATCACAGGCCTAGCCATTGTAACCACTGGTCCAGGAGCATTACTATTGATTAAGCAAATAATAGTCAAGAATGTACTCCTGAAATAAAGAAATGAAACAATCCAATACAAAAGTAACTTATTCAACAACTTTTTGCAATTAATTGAGTTCTTTCTCCATTCCCAACATAGTTTTACTGTTTTTATACTCTCTGTCACTCTCCCTCAACTCTTTCCAGGCTTTTGGCCGGGAACTGATGTTTTTTTTTTGTTTTTTTTACAATAATGGTTTATGAAACCAAAAATGTCCTACTATTCTTTTCCAAGTGTACAATCCGAGTGTGAGGCTGTGGTACATCCGGTACCTGACATAGCATCAGAAAGGCTAGTAGAAAAATTTGCTGAGACATAATGCTGGTAGTTGGTGTCCATCTGAGAAAGCATGTCACCAATACAAGCTAACAAGCACTCAAACTGGGCCCTGTTGTGCCTCGAGTAGCTCAAAAGTGACGATAAAGTTCAACCACAATGTAGCCGGATAGCCTAGAGGTTGTGACACCATGTGCAGAGGCTTCAGTCCTTGTTGCAGAGGCTGGGGATTCGAGTCCAGCCTCTGCCCTTTGCTGCAAGTCATACCCCACTCTCTCCTCTCCAAGTTTCCTGTCTCTTTTCAACTGTCCTATCAAATAAACACAAAATCGTCATACAAAAAAAAAAGAAAAAAAGTTAAACCAGAAACAGTACCTAAGGAAGTTCGTGACATCAACATAGCCCTGTGCATCTCTAGGTGTTATGAACACAGACACTATTCAGACCTACCGGTAATGCAAAAATCACACAAACAAGCCACAAGTTAAAAATTGACTTTGCTTTTTACCTGCCCTCAACTAAGCATCAAGATCAGCAATTCAAATAGTTACATTTGTTGGGTGATAAATCTACTGAGCCCAACTGTGTGCCCTACATAGACAGAGTCAGCTCCGTACAGTCAGATACCCATAGTGCAATTATCCCAATAAGTGTTGTTTTGCACTCTATAAAAAAGGTATCTGAGGGGCGCTGGTGGCGCAGTGGTTAGAGCGCACGCCCCATGTATGGAGGCTGTAGTCCTCCAAGCGGGCGGACCGGGTTTGAATCCTACCTGTGGCTCCTTTCCCACATGTCATTCCCTACTCTCTTTCTCCCTGATTTCTGACTCTATCCCCTGTACTATCTCTCCAATAAAGGCACAAAATGGCCAAAAATAAATCTCTGAGACCCTATTCCTAAAAGTAAACAACTGTGAAAATAAATTGGTATGTTTATGTAAAATAAATATATAGTCAGTCAAATTGTACACAGTTAGGGTAAGAGGTCAAAGATGAGGATGTGTGAGGATGCAAAAAGTAGGACTGTTTAATGATGATCACTTTTTATATCAGTGTTTTCAGGAAAATTACCTTCAACTAATCATCCAGAGAGCAGACAGACAGGCAGCTAAGTAGACAGACAGATCTCTCTCTCTCTCTCTCTCTCTCTCTCTCTCTCTCTCAGTGAGGCAGTTTAACAGGCTACGGCTGTGATTCATTCCTGAACTGTCAGGGGGCTTTTTGACATCTTGGAGCATGCGCACTTCATCATCTCATCAGAACCGAGACTAGCGTACCGTTAACTGGCTAACCACCGATTCACCACCAGCAACTACCCACCCAAGGACTGACCTGTGTGGGAACTATTTAGCGAACATACCGACTCTGGAAACAAACACATAACTCACCCGGGTATCGTCATGTGAATGAAGAGTTCAATAAAAAACATTCATATCTCATAAAAACACACAGTGACCGTCAGCAGAGTGTCACTGTTATAACGGATCACCATGTCGTGACCTAGTGATGGGGTCAAAACCTGAACCCATATACATGCCGACATCACTGATTAACTATTAAAAACAGCTCGTTAATAACCGCAGTCTTAACTGAGTGGAAGTGAGTTAAAATACAGAAAATGGAGTTATATTACCTTCTTTAGCCGCTCTGTTTCCACCTGTCTGAAACCACAGAATCACAGACGAGCGGGTGGTACTCAATCAGACACACAGTCTGTGTCTCGGTATCTTTGGTTTCTGTCCCACTGTCTCCGTCCTGTCCCACTGTCTCCGTCCCGTCGCCCTGTACCTGTCTTCTCTCCTCGTCTCTGTCCTGTCAATGTATCCTGTCTGCCTGCCTCTGGTTTCGTGGCGCTAAACTTCAAACTTCATCCGTCGCCATTTTTTCACTTTTCCCGCGAATCAGAAAAGGAGGTATTCGGTAATTTGCATAAACCCCGATCGTCACTGCCGTCGACGACTGCGTCATCACGTCACCCCCATGAAGTGTGGTAAAGTACTGGTAAAGTCAATAAAACAACCTTTCCCTTTATTTGTAATCAAAGCCTGGATGTTACAATCATGACAATGTACAAAACACACTAGGCTACAGAATTTAGCATGATTAAAAGAACAAAGGGATTTAATATGAGTAAAAGATAGCAAAATAAATAAACACAAAAGAAAAACCAGGGATCAAATCTGGATCAAAATCTGTACATTTTGGTTTATTAATTCTTACTATTCGAATTACTCAGTATATACTTAGTATATTCTTATTATAGGTATATTTACATTTTTTTTTTTTTGTTAATTCAATCATGAAAAGTGTGGTCTGACTTTAATAAATCTACATTGGTGTATGAATTGTTTTGCCCAAATCATTAGAGTATTATACATTTCCCCCTTTTCTATCCTCTCTTGTAATAGGCTACCAATTTTGACATTATTATATTCTAATTTTGGTGACTTTAAGTCTTTTTCAGATATCCAACTTTGAAATGAATCCCAAATTGTTATGTGAATACACAAACATGAAACAAATGTTTAAGTGTTTCAATTTCATAATCACAGAACAAACAATATTTATTTTCAATATAAAATCTTTCTCTTAGAAATTCATTACTTAGGTATATAATTTGTAATTTTAAAATGTGTTTCTTTGGCTTTTGGTGAAATGTGGAGAGTGAGGTATTCAGTTCTAATGCTTGTAATGTTTTCAGTAGAATAATCTTTAATGTTTTTTTTTTTTAACTTTTCAGTTAAACTTGAAAGGGCTCAAAAGTCAGAATGCATCTAATAATCTTATTTGTACATTTATTTTCCAAAAGAGCTATATCATAGTGAAGGTAACCATGGTGTTATCCTGTCATATGTTAAAATGCCTTTCACCATAGTGAAAGGATCCTTGAGGAATTGCCTTCAAACTGTTAAATATGGTTTTTTTGTAAGTTCAATAGGCTATTGAACTTCTCCATGAAATCATTGTATTTGAGAAAATGTCCTCCTGAATACAGTATGTGTAAAATGGACCAAATCCCTCACTCGTTTAAAGTCTAATATCAGGATTATATGTCAATGTTCTGTTTGCCCCACTTGCAATCCGTTGCCCATTTATGAAACAATCTTGAAAGTATGCCTTCTTCCCAGCTTGCCTTGCTTCCTGTATTGGCCAAAGAGTTTCTCTGTAACTGTAACAGTCATTGAATAATGACGGAAAGCCTAAGAAGACCTTTTACTTGAAGGCAGGCTGTGGGAATCTACAACTTTTGGTCAGATTCAGTGAATGACTCTCACTCTGGTAGTGGCCAAATTGTCTGTACTGATTTATATAGCCTTTGCTCTGAGAAAGAGAAACAAAGATACTAAACAGGATTCCAGTCGATGAGCAAAAGGGAGCATTCGGGCACTATACTCTGAACTCTTGCTTTTGGCTACTTTTCTCTTACATTTCCTAACCAACGAGAAAAAGAGCTACACCATACTGCTTCTCCTTTTAACTTATAACTTCAGAATCAGAAATACTTTAATAATCCCAGATGGAAATTCGGTAACTTACCTGATGAAACTCCTGATACCACCTTGTATTTGCTATGGTTTTGTTTTTAGAGTATTTCAGACAGTAATGCAATTTCCATGAATTTAAGCTGTGTATTTCTTGAAGGAGTATTGTTTGGATGTTGGTTTTCAAACAAAACACTCCCTGTAACCACATAGGCCTACATCTCAATATTAAACTTCACAGGAATAACTTTTTTTGATTCTTAATTCTATAATGTCAGCAATTATCAATCTGAACTCTGATCAGACATTTACAACAACAGACGGAGAAGAGACGGGGAAATAATAAGTCCAGACACTCTTTAATGAACCATCAGCTCTATTTTCACATCAACTCTGACAGCATTAGTATGAAAAGTTATTAATCCTCACAACTGACAGTAAATAAAGTTGGACAATGCTGGTGACATCAATTGGTGACCAAAATTGTGCAATTGACTTTTTCACAGTTTTGAATATCCCGTACCTTTTGCAAACCAAAACACACATTTCAGTTTTTTGAGGCAACTGTAAGATATAAAGTTGGGAACAACAGAGGACATCCCAGCGTACAATGTAGTTCCAATAATTCATAGTTCTTTGCCACTTATAACAAAACATTGACTCATGGAAGACTGTCATGATTTTCTTAGTAGAAATTGGTTGGTTCAAGCTGCATAGGCTGAAATTGTGTTTACAGAAAGGTAACATGATTGGTATTTGAACTAAGAATACAATGAAATAGTTTTTTTTGTACAGTCGCATAGTTAAACTAGGGATGCGTTCTAAAAGGTTAAAAAAAGGCATTTTTCATTACATCTTGTCTTTAAGATAAAAAGAACCAATCACATTTGATAAAACATACAAACAAGCAGCTGTTATTTCCTGAAGTTGCTGCAGAGAATTGCTCAGGGGAGGAAGGTGCTGGTTAATGGTTTAAGGACAGGAGAAAGGTTCTGGGGATTAAGTTTGGGTCAGGGTTTAGGGAAAACAGTACAGTGTAAGGGTCAGGTTTAGGGTTTAAGAGCAGGAAAACAGGTCAGGTGTAGGATCTGATGATCAAGAGTCAGATTTAGTAGTAGGTCGTATCTTCATTTCGGTAAACCTGAGCGAGTACTGCCATCCTGTCCAGCTGGACCACTCCACACCATCAGCATAGGAGGCATGGCCTCCACTTAGGTACTGCCCATTCAGGTTGGAGGTATGGCAGTTACGGTACCACCATGCCCCCTGGTAGTACGCTGCACAGTTGTTTTCTGACTGGTCCTGGTCTCGATCTTTGGTCGTGAATCGCATACCAGAGTGCTTAAGAAGGGAGTCACCTAGAGGACAGAAGAATGCTTGTTATTACTGTGAAATGTTGTACAGTATTACACCAGTACACCTGTTGTTTTTTTATTCTTACCTGCGGTCCCTGAGTACTCGTCCACAATCAGTGGATATCCGTCCTCTTCAGGGTTCACAGAGTCTCGACCAACAGAGAAATCAGCGTAATGTGCAAACGCTGTGGCATTATCAAAATCTGCCATGTCGATGCGTAATTCATAACCACCTGACCTGGTGAGAGAATAGATCCTCTGGAGACCTGAGGGACAGATGGTTCAGGGGAGACAGATGAAGAGACAGAAGGCATTGTTCTCTTGAGTTACTTTGAAGAGCAGGGTTTATTATTATTTTTTATCTAGAGCACATGGCACTGGCAGTTTTCTTTAGTCAGCCAGTCCATTAACCTTAAAGTCAACCTCTCAACACCAAGGACACACTACGCCCTGTATTCTCAAAACGTGACATACATCTTGACAATAGGAGTTGTCTAATTCTTCTAATTCTAGTGATATTTTGCTGGATTATCAGCACACTTGAGTGACTGAACACATAAGCGCTTTAAGCACTTTACACTATTTTGCTTTTAGAATTTGTGTACTCGTGCATGTGAGTGTGTCCATTTGTGCGACAGACCTAGCCAGTGCTCTCCTGTAGTTCTTCCAAAACCATCTCTGTAGGCCTCCCAGCCACGAAAAAAACTCACAGAGCCGTCCTCTCTCCTCTGGATAACCTGCAGACATACACAAAAACAAATACTTGAATATCAAAACAGTTTAATAAAATGAATGCTATTCTTCCTTTCAATCCTCTGACAATTTGCATGAGCAGTCACAAAGTCAGCAGGATAAACACGCATGACTTAGTACCATTATTAGCAGAATATCATTTTAATCAGCTGTTAACACTCTGAAGTAAATATAACAGCTAGGACCTGCAGCAGTGTGTATTTGTCTGCATGTATGTGTTTGTGTGTCACATACTGTCCAGCCTCCTCCATCAGTGGTCATATCACAGTAAACCATGAAGCCGTCCGGGTCGTGAGTTGGAAATACAGAATAAACTCCATCCTGAGTGTTACCGGAAGCCAAGACATCACTACAGTCCCTGGGTCTGACAGCTGAGGACAAGATATCCAGGCAGACACATGGAGAGAGGGGGAGACAGAGAAAGAGAAAGAGAAAGAGAGACAGACAGATACATTATCAGAAGGAAAAAGTTTACCAACATACACACCTGAATGTGTAACTGTTTTAGATCCTTGCATGTGTAACCAGTTTGCGTGACTTTCCGTATTACCTGAAAGTTGTGTGTGTGTGTTTATTACCTTTTCGTGTTGTTATCTGCCTGTTACAGTGCTTCCATCACTGTGATCATTACCTCAGTTTGTAACATTTGTGTGTTTATGTATGTGTTATTTTATTTTATTTATTTATTTTCACATAAAAAAACAAAAAACAAATGAGAGGAAGAAGAACAATATTACATAATGTGGGGGAAATTGCCTGAAAACCCATCAGGGGCATTCCCCAGGTAGAATAATCCAAAAATAATTATAGCCATGAATGCATATAAATATATAAACAATATGTATCTATGCCTCAGCCAGAGACAACAACAACCTCTTTTAATACATTTACATGTAAGCAATAGTGATGCTTACAGTCTCAGAACATGCAGATATGAAGCTTAAAGCCGAACCAGAAAGAAAGCTGTCTATCTTAAAGGTAACTATAAATCAGAGTAGTTAATTATTTCTTACTCCAAAATGTGATCGTTTCTGGAGAAGAATTTGGTGTTTTACTGTGACAATTGCCTTTTAAATGTCCCCTTCTATCTGTAGCTTTTTAAATTTCACTATTTAGATGTGTCAGTGCCATAGGCCTAATGTTTTTCCTTTAAGCATATTTATGTGTTTAGATAATATTGAAGTTGTAAACATGTCAAATTAGCCTTTCATAAAGAAGCTCAATTACTCTTGATAAAGATAACTGTTGATAAAAATACCTGAATGTGTTATTACTGTATGTGTATAGCTGTGTACCCTGTTTCCTTGTTTGTTACCTTTATGGGTTGATGTGGTGTCTGTGTGTTAAATTGTGTGTCACCTTTGTTATTTACCACGTCTTATGTGTGTGACCTATATGTGAGTAACTACATGTGTTTCCTGAGCTGTGTTACTGTGTGTCTTACTGTGTTTGTTGGTGAGTGTGTTTCATCTTTCTGTTAGTTTGTGTGTTTCTTGTGGGAGTAACTACATGTGTGTTTCCAGTTTTGCTACCTATCTTTTTGACTGCATGTCACATCAGTGTGTGATACCTGTGTATGTTGCAGATAGTTGTTGTTGTTCATTGTGTGTGTGTGTGTGTGTGTGTGTGTGTGTGTGTGTGTGTGTGCTTGCTTCAGTTTGTGTTCCTGTGTTTGTTAATGGGTGTGTTACCTTTGTACTTGTTGTCCCTCTGCAGGTCACTGTTGAGTCTCCTCAGACTCTCAGTCTCCCTCTGCAGACTGAGCAGAGAATCACTAAAACCTGCAGCAAACTTCGACACCCCTGAATGGCTGTCAGACAACACCTGTACAGGTAAGAGAAAGGGGTTACTTAAAAATACTGTTTTAGATTAATTGAGCTTTATTTAATTTGTTGATGTAGTTCCAATTGGCTTATGAAAAGTGAATATATCTGTTGATGTACAGTATCTCGACATGTTAGTTTTATTGTTTAGGTTTTTCTACTCTTTTATTTAATGTATATTGATCTTTAAGATGTAGTCCTGCAGGTTTATATAAAAAACATTTAATTGAATATAATACACTGTATAACAACAAACCTGCCTCACCTGTATGATACGGCTCTGTTCACTCTGTAGTCCATCCAGACGTTGATCCAGAACACCTTGACCTCTTTTCAGTGAATCAGCTTCTAGCCTCAGGTTGTGGGCGTGGCCTGACAGAACCTTCAGCTCTTCAGACAGCTTCTGGGCCAATCCCATGTTTGGCCAGTCTTCTGTGTTTTGATTGGACAGTGCTCGCAGCAAAGAGCTCTGCAGTGCCTCCCAACGCAGGAAGTTGGCACTGTAATCGGGACAGTTTGGGTCCAGAAAGATGCTAATTGGCTCTCCGTCTGTGACACGGGAGACAGTCACCAGGGCGCCAGAGTCTTTGGAATTGGTGGAGATCACAGGTGAGGAGGAGGCTCCGCCACTTTTACTACAATAATAGGGATGGAGAAAAAGTTAAAGAGACAGTTGGGTCAGGCAGACAAAAAAAAGAGAAATAAAACAGACACACAGTCAGTATCAGCATCTAGACAGCTATATCATGCAGGTAGCCATGCAGGTTGGTAAAACAGCCTGCCAGCAGCCAGCCAGACAGGCTGACAAGATGGGTGTATTTACCTGCTGATGAAAGGCAGAGGATACTGGTTCACGTACAAGATGGTGACTGTGGTTGTGACAAGAGCTGCTATCACGACCAATACGCCAATGGACCATGACAGGAAGTTGCAGCATGTCTGGAAACACACACACACACACACACACACACACACACACACACATACATACAAAAGTTTAGCCAAACAAAGATAAGTACATTCAATATTTATCATCAATCAATCCTTTTTTGCTCTCTTGTAAAGTGTCTTGAGATAACATTTGACCAAAACTAATGTACTGACAGACTAGCTTCAGTGTGTGTTATTGGCTTATACGTTTGGCATTATGTCTTATAGCCTATAAAATTGAGGTCATTTCACTTAGAATTAAACAACTTAAAGAAAAATAAATCGTAGTTATGCTTACAAATGTAAGTTTTACCAAATAAGACCTTATTCACAAGAGGGAATGAAGAGGCGTTATATATTAATATGACCTAGTTTTAAACCAGAAATTAACACTGAAATCCTTCTTGCTACACACTGGGTTACACATACTGAATATTGAATTATTGTCCAGTGTGTAAGCAGCATTTTACTGTTTAGTTTAAATCCAGTTTAATCTGTAATAATGCTTCATATTTATCAACTCATCATATGTTTCAATCTTAATCTGTACAGCAATCAGTTGTGGCAGCTGCCAGATAACTGTAGTGTACAGTAGCAAAGATCAAAGTAGCCTACTGAAGAACAATATCCTAATGACATTTGTTTAATAGAAATAAGCTATTTAACCTAAAGTGATGGAGTTCATTCATTTATATATTATTTACATTATTCATAAAGATCTCCATCATTGGCATTATTCTTATTATTTATTGGCATGGGCTCACTGCAGCCTGTCCTCAAGCCTGACTGGGGTGGGGGAGGGGGAGGGGGGAGGGTTATGGGTGAGGATTGTGGGGTAACATGCCCCCTGCAGGGAAAATCACGTCTCTGTGTGTTTAATCTGTAGATCCTCTGTGATGTCAGTGAAGGCGACAGATGCTGCAGATTAGAGACACTTTGATCTGACAGTTTAACTCCAGATTAACACGAATTAACTCTCTGTAGGTCTGTCAGTCTGTGGGCTCTATCAGTCTTTCTCTGACGGTTCAATCTGAACACAAATTTGAACAGAATCTTCAGAAAAAATCTGACACTGATGCCATGAAAATGTTGCAGGAGAAGACATGAAGTTGTTAAAGAGCTCAAGTCAGTGCTCGAACAATGAAAAATCATTTGAAAAACACAATTTAATATGACACAAGTGCTGGTTTCAAGCATTAATTTGTGAAAGGTTAAAGTGTTCTCATCCCAGATTTGACAGTGGGGGGTGACGGTAAAGCATCGTGGGCCTCCTCAGCCCCATTCCATTTAGCTGATCACACAGCAGGGTGTCATCACAGCTCAGAGGACCGGAGGTAGCATGACAACCACTGACAACCCATACAGTACCAAACTCAGTGAAACAACCATTAACCCTTTTTGTAGTTTTTGATGTGTGTTTTGGAGTGATTTGAGGAGAAAAAAAATCATTGTATCAACTATGAGGGGGAATTAAGATACATACAGAAAAAATCCTATGCAACCTTTTCAGCCATATTACCATTGTAACTTTGCAAATCAAACCATTTTTTTGGAAAACAATAGCAAGCTTCAAAGGCTGACTTGGTAAATTAACCATCATATGACATGTCTCAAACATATACTGTAACTTTCCTACTTCTGCTGAATGGAGATATACAGCTGACCCAAGCCCAAAGAGACCTTACAAGTAAAAAAATTAAGTGCTTTGACTGACTGTCATCTGCACTTGACTATTGGGCTCAAAACAATACTAAAATCCTGTGAGCAAAATGTCAATATCAATGATTCGAAATCAACCAACGATAATTGGACAATGTGCAAACAAAGTTCCTCCCTCGGACTATTGTTTCTTCTACACAAATGAGCTACCAGACAGTTACAAAGAGGATTATTGTTCCAAATTTCAAGTACATATTGGAAAAATATCCAAGACCAACAATTCTTAAAAGAACTATTGTCAACTTCAAAGATATAGTCGACGCATAAAGGTTGCTCTACTGAGCTTGAAAATAGGGGATCTCTAGTCAATAAAATGGCACAGTGGGGGAGATGGTGTGGTTGATGATTGGATAGCAATTGGGTGATGGTGGGGTGATGGTTAGATGTAGCAGTTGATAATTTGAGGTTGTTGAGAAAGGTTATTTAGAGTAAAGGGTGGCGAGGGAATAAGGGAAGTAGTCTGGAGGTGATGAGGGTTTGTAATGAGTGATGATGTTTAAGATTGTGTGGTGATTATTGGGTGATACTTGGGATTTTATAGGTTAATGGGTGGAGGGATTTTAGGAGTAAGTAGGGTGCGGATAGGATCATTGGGTGGTGGGTTGATGATAGGAGTTGGTGGGTTGATGGTGGAACATTGAGAAGTTAAAGGGAGATCAATAATTGGAAAGGAATGATTGGTTGATGTGATAAGTTGAATGCGGGGCAATTGTGAGGCATATAAGAGGGTGATGTGTTGATGTCTATGGACTGATGGTTGGTGGCGGTAATATTTGGAGGATTGTGGAGTGGCTGGGAGATGGTGGACTGATGACCTGGCAATGGTGGGGGAATGCCAGAGATACTGAATAGGTAATGGGAGATGATGGTGAATGATAGTGGGGAAGTGATGATAAGGGGATTGTGGGAATGGTTTGTTGATGGTTGGGGTTGGTATCTGGTCAAACTGGTGAACAAGATAACAGCTAGCATTGCATCTACTGTACCTTGTGCTTGTTTAGTCGTTTGCTGTCTAGTTCTGAGCTGCTGTTGTTCATGATAGTCCATCTGTCGTTCAGCATCATCCTGAAAAGCAAAAAACACCAATCATTCCAAAAGTCGTCAACATTGATGCTGCAAAAAATGCAGCAATAATGCATTAGAATCAAAGTATTAAAACTCTCTGATAGATCTCTAAAACCTTTTTGTTGAAATTTTGAATATTCTTGTAGACCTTCAAAACCTAAACCCATTCTAGGTCTACTTGGAAAGGTTCAAGAGGTCTATGAAAATGACCTCACAAACCTCAATAAGACAGAGCAGAAACTTCTTTACCAGAATCTCAATAAACTCCTCTCAGCTTTAGAGAGGCTTTAAAAGCAACCTTAAGAGACTTTGTAAGTTTTGATTCTTAAATCTTCAAAGAAATGTCTTCTTAAAAAAACAAACAAACTCTATTGCGTTTTTAAGCACCTCCATAACCATCTTTAAAAACTCCACAGTCTTAATTCATCTTATGGTCAACAATACTATCTCAAGCCACTCCAGAGGGAGTTATTTTCAAGTGACAAACATTAATCTTAATGTCAAGACCATGATCTAGTAAAGATCAAAGTTATTCACAAAGCAGCAACTGTTGGGAGTAGTGAGGAGGACTTTTAGGAAGCTTAAGACTTTTTTCAAGCAGGGGAAAAAAATGGAGAAATGCACTGAGGAAGAATATTCTTATTGGGCTAAACCGGCTAAACGAGCCCTTATTGAAGGTTATATGCTTTTAAATATGGTTTACAATTTATACTACACTGATTTTGATTTGATAAAATAGTGTCCATAATAACACAATGTCTTAATAGATTCTATGATTAGGTCAATCGACTTCACTGACCGACTTTCGAGGGAGAGCATGTTTTGGGGGGCTCAACCGATCACAGATTTTGAGAGGATGTTTTAATGTTCTTGTGTTATTTGCTACCAGTAAATCTCATCATAAACACCATAAGAATGCATCAAAGAGACATATTCATTTAATGTAACCCATATGTAATTATAGTCAGATACCTGTGCCCTATGGCTCAGTGATAGTATAAGACTTAACTTACACATTTTCTGTGGGAATTTTTTTCGCCAGCTCTCCTGCCCACATTTGGCAGCTGCAGCTGTGTTGCTTTTAGCCTGGATTTGTAAAATATGCCTCTCTCTTAGGCCAGTAGACCTCTCAATGTTTGTGGTGGTTGTTATGCTGAAAACCCAGATGGCTTTAACGTGAATATGCTCAGGGAGATAAAAACCCTGAACTCATTTCTAGACTGGATAGTCAGTGCAGGGTAGCTTCTAATTATGATTGTTTATGTTCAGGTTATTGAGGCCAAACTAAATATATCAAGGCCTATAATATTAAAGGCTTGTTGGTAAAGACTTGTTGGCGAGGACTTGTAGTTAAAGACTTGCTGATGACTTGTTAATTCTTTGTGTTGACTTGTGAGGTAAAGCTGAACAGCTGGTCAGGAAGTGTTTAACGTCTGTTTCTGTCAGATTCACTTTAGTCTGACTGATGGTCACTCAGGGTGTCTTTTAAAGCCTTGCTGTCACACATACATGTCAAGTAAAAAACTAAAACCCTTTTTTAAAATCTCTACTGTAAAACATCAATAACATGGTGGGTTCTATGTAGGAGTCAGATTTGATCCTGTAACCCAGTTTTTAGTCTTTCACCTCAGTAACAGGTTTAGAGTTCAAACATAAGATCAGAGATCACCATGAGGATCACAGATCAAATCTCCTGGTGACCTATCATGAATATTTATTTTTCTCTCATTTGTTAGAAGAGCTTTTAAAGAGCCCCAAGAAATAAATATAAAAGACATACTAAGATTGTACCAAGGGTCAAAAAATGTTTTAAAAAATACAGAGCATCTCTTGAAATAGATTTTTTTGTTTTAAATTGAATCAGTTTTCTGCTAACAAAACAGTTGGGCTGGAAACATTTACTGAGATCAGCTGACTGACAGAATTCATGTTTCAATTTGGTAACAACAGGGCTATTTAGAAAGTTTCCATCACATTTAAGGTGTTTGAACCCTTCAAACACTTCAAGGAAAAAAATATGTTTGCTGTTTTAAAAATAAACTCTAACCAATAAATAAATGAATGACCTTTTCAGTGTTTAGAATTTACAAAACAATCAAATCAAGGTTTTCTTACAGAAAATATCCTGTTAATTATATTACTCTTTCACAATGAACTGCATATATTTAAATGTATTGTACACATATTTACTGGTGCAGTATAAAGTTAAAACTTAAACCTCTCTGTAAAGTTCTGTTTCTTTCACTTTTAGATTTAAATTTAGATTCAGATGAAAACACAAACATGAAAGGATATCTTAACTTCAGCTGCCAACAGTTGAAACTATATATTAGTTGCTGATGAAAAGCTCATTGAATTCTAATATGTTTACTTAAATGTACTTACATTTATGTTAGGCTCTGGCAATGATGAAAAAGTCCACAATTATACTTGGTTGTCAGTCTACAGACACATTTTCTCCTCAGATGTCATTCAAGCACAGACAGATTCACAGAGAGAGAGAGAGACCATCTGCTGGGTCCCAGGGCGAGAGAGAGAGAGAGAGAGAGAGAGAGAGAGAGAGAGAGAGAGAGAGAGAGAGAGAGAGGTGGGGGGTAGGACACTGATGGAGAGAGAGAGAGAGAGAGAGAGAGAGAGAGAGAGAGAGAGAGAGAGGGTGGGGGTAGGACACTGATGGAGAGAGAGAGAGAGAGAGAGATAGATAGAGAGAGAGAGAGAGAGAGAGAGAGACTCGTGATGCTGTGATAATCTGATCAGTTAACTGCAGATTTACTGCAGTCTGTCACACTAAACAAACAAGATTTCTGACAACAACCTAACAACACATTAACACACTCACTAACAAGTTAACAACAGCCAACTTTAAAATGTAAGCAAAACATTTGCGACAAAATTAACATCATATTTGCAACACAGTAAATAAAACACTGTAATAGCACATTAACAACATTTGAACAGCACGGGCAACTGACAAAGAGGAAGACTTACAGTATACATGCAGGGCACATGAGCAGTATATCCAAATGCATTTTAAATTACGACACCTTAGCAGCAAAATCAGAAAATAAACACAACACAGTAACAGCTTATTTATAACACGTTAACAACACTGTAAACAACTTGACAGTGCAGTTATAACACTTTAACAACCCACAGAGAACATGTTAACAACACCGTAATGTCAATGAACTACAGAGTATAACATCTGTTTTTATGACTGCGTAACAATGAGTCTTTGCCCAGAAAATGTAAACAAAGGCTGTGTGTTCTTAATCACGATGACAGTGGTTTCAGACATTATAGAAATAATGAATCTTCATGCTGATGCTCTCTTATTTATTTAGTAGGTCACAGAGAGGCGTCTGTATTCATTTTTGTCTGTTTCATAAAACTACTCACAGGAGCTTTAACCTATAAAACATGAACCACAATATAACAACATATTGAAGACAAGTTAACCGACAATGACCCCTTTATTGATCACACAGGGGCTTTACTTCTTAGCTTTGGCTGAAGCCAGCATCACTTTAAAAAACAAAGATGTCAACCTTGTTTATTTTATCTTCCACACATCACAAACAAGATAACAATACACACTAAGAGCACAATAACAATACATTTACAAATGTTGACAAGATATTACAATATTTTAACACATCATCATCATAATTTTAAATACGTTTAACAAAAACAGACACACTTTGGATCTGTGTTGAAACACAGGAGAATTTTCCAACACTTGGAACAAACTTGATATACAGACAGACAGAAGAGATTCAAGAAGGATTTAGATCCCTTCTGTGATTGTTTAGGCTGGCTCATAAGAAGGAGAAATTATGACTTTTTAAAATACTTTAAATAAAAACTACATGTGCAAGAAGCTAAAGAGAGAAACTGACTCACTCAGGTCAATTTCAGATTTTATCCTGACAGATGAAAGACGGTAAAAACATGTAAGAGGTCTGTCAAAACCACACATTCCATTCTGTTTCTGTTTTATTCCATAATGTCAATATTTTCATTTGATTTTACGAGTTGATGTCATTTTAATAATCTGGGAAATACTTTTGGATTTACTGCCTCAAATGTGCCGCAAATCCTGTTGCACAACGCTTCGTGGTAACATAACCTTCAACATGGAAGTGAGAGCAATACAACATTTTTAGATTAAACTTGTCCCAGATGTGATAATTCCTCAGAACATGTAGGAAACTATAAGAACTTCAAGTATAGCCTACGACCTCATGACAGGAATATTAGTTTTGTTTTAAGGAAGCATAAATCAGCAAAATGTAAAAATGATTATTTTTATTTAGCTTTTTATTGGCATCCAGCAGGTTTACAAGAAGTGAATACAAAACCATTTATGTCATGCACGTTTTAGCTAAAGGAAGGGTTCTTATTCTCAATCTTTTTGTAACTGTGAAGCACTATGGGCTGCATGTTAATGTGCCATATAAATAGTTGAGTTTAGTTGAGTTAACCCCTAAACCAAGCATGAAAAAACAAACAAAAAGCATTCAAACAAAAAAAAAACAATAAAACATTTTATAGGAGTTTAGATCTGTTCACCATGCAATATCCATCTGTATATTGTTGTCAGTCAATACTTTGATTGATAAATATATCTACTTATCGTGAAAACAGATTTCAATCAAATTTAAAACCTTTAACTCTGTTTTCTGTTATTATTGGTGTATCTTTCACTCAGTGTTACAAACATGTGCGGTGTTGTGTGGATCAGGAAACACTGGGATGACAAATTCTCAGTTTTTTGACTTTTTTTGCAGTTTGGTTTGTTGCTGTGGAAACGACCCCCCGCCTCTCTCTGTTAATAACAAACACATGTGTGAGACTAAAAGAAACATCAACGTCACAGTAAACTGAGCACAGTTTTTCACAGTAAAAGCATGAGGTTAAATCCAGCCATGGTACGGATCAGAATGCTAACTTGTTAATAGTTCTGGTTATTGATCTGAAATGATCCATGACTTCACTTTTTTTAGATTGATCATTATTATAAGTGTGGATTCTCCTACTTCATTCATAACTGACATGCAAACTGATTTTAGTAATAGGTTATCTTTGTAATTGTTAAAACAGGTTACACTGAAATGCAATTATTGAACAAAAAAAAATCCTTTCAAGCTACTTTGAAGCTTTTAATCACATAATTTAATCTCTATTTTATTTCATAACATATGAGAGGTTATCAAAGTGATCAAAAAATGTACATCACAGTCCCTTAAGAAAGATTATGTGATACAGAAAAGTTAGTGAAAAGAGGTTGAACTTGTGCAGATTGTTTTTGTCAGTCTAATGTGAGTTTGAAGTTATTTAAAAAAGTAAGGCTTTAATGTTGAAAGGGCAAACAGGAAATGGCCATGTTTGTTTACTTTAACTTGACCAGATGTAAATCTGCTCCTGGTTTGAATTTTTCCTCCAGAGGGAAAGTTAGAAGAAACACAAACTGAGTAAAAGCAGAAAGAGAGGAGCCGTTAGTTTGACTGTTAGTTATCTGAAGAGTTAAGTTCTTTTTACTCAGTGTGAGTTTTAATGGATGTGTCTCCTTACAGCAGAAAAAGGTGAGACTGAACTTGTTCATTTAAAACTTGGAATAACATCTCCTGTGTCTACTTGAGGAAATATAAAGGTCAGTTAGATAATAAGACAAAAGTTAGCTGAGCTGATTTAAAGTTGTATTAAAGAGCCATATTTGTTTTAATGATTGAGAAGTTAAATTTTTAACTTTAAAACAGAAACTGATATCCTACAGTAAAGGAGGTTAAATCACAGGAGCTGACAGGTTCCAACCTAAACCTAATTAGTTTTTTCTTTAAAAATGTGTTTAAAAAGAGAAACAAACCTCAGTTTCATTTGAAAAAAAATTGATTTACAGGGTAAAATCTTTTAGAGGAGCTCAAACTTTGTTGTTTTTTGAGAAACCAGAGTTAGTGTGTTTTTTAAAGAAGAGAGGGGAGTAGGCCTATTGAAGAGTAATATAAAGAGTAAAAAAAACATTTTTTCATCAGCAGCCTGTCTGTTTTGTGCAGCAGACGCACAGTCATGTTTACTGCTGTCAGGTCAGGTCATCTAGGTCATACTGATGTTTCCTGCTTGAGTTAGTTTTATAAGACTCTAAAGGCTCAACGTGCTGAATTCATCCAGTGTTCAACAAAGACTGATGTATGACCTCTTTACAAAGCACAAGACTTTAAAGAAGTGTTTTACTTATTTTACCTGTTAATGAGCAGACTTCTGAACAGTGTGTTTGTGCTGTTGATATTCTTTGACTATATGTTTCCTTATTTGCTGTTTTATTACATTTCCCTCCTCAGAGATCTAAATCAGATTCAACGTAATAGAGTTTTGAAATACTTTAGGCAAAAACAAATGTAAGAATGTGAGGAGCAGTGGCCCCTTCGAGGACAAGTTAAAGTGTGTGTGTGTGTGTGTGTGTGTGTGTGTGTGTGTGTGTGTGTGTGTGTGTGTGTGTGTGTGTGTGTGTGTGTGTGTGTGTGTGTGTGTGTGTGTGTGTGTGTGTGTGTGTGTGTGTGTGTGTGTGTGTGTGAGTGATCTGGTAATCCCCTATCCCCTTCATTAGTTTCAATCAGTGTGATGAGTTGCAGCTTCACTTCCTGCTCCAGTTCATTTCTTTGTCACGTTAACAACCTGAAATGTGATGCATAAAAACCCAAACTGTGATCCACAAACATTTTCATATAAAGCTAGATATGATTTATTGACTCTGAAAAGAAAGAAGACTTTAAGGAAAGAAAGAAAGAAATAAAGAAATGTGCCCCTGGTTGTTGTTTTATACCTCCCAGACTGGGAGCACCAGGTTAAAATTGTCAAGAAATCTTTGTTATTATATGTCCCAACTTGTCGACTCGTAATGTTTACTGATAAACACACATGCCTTACCTTGGATTACAGGGATTGTGACCACCATGAAAAGAAAAAAAGAGTAAAATGATTAAGTTTGATCAACAAACACATGTTCAATAATAAACACACTTATTGTGTGGTGACCCCTTGTGGTCATATTTAACACATGCTGTCCTCTGATAGGCCCTGTGGTGGAGCTGTCCTCCAGCTGCACCAGGAGGCCCAATGTCAGCCTCCAGCCTGTAAGAGGAGGTGCAGAGAGGAGGAGGAGATGAAGCACAGAAGGAGAAGGATGGATGAAGGCTGTGAGGAGAACATTGATCGAGGCGAATGTCTGCAGAGGAACACAAGAATACAGAACCTTCAAAAAGAACACAGACGGTGAATCTCCATTAACATCCTCTTCATCACTGGATGCTGATCATTGATCAAAAACCAATAAAAAAAACTTTAAATTCTGCAGGTTTCCACAGTCTGGATCACGACCCAGGACCAAGGTCAGGAATGGATCTGCAATTGGGTCTGGATTCATGTCTGGAGTGGTCATCCAGTCCTGCAGACCTGAAATCAAAGAGGCTCGAATCAGG